CGTTTTCATCCCTAAACAATACGCAGATTTTATCAAGCAATCATCCAAAAAGTTCATCCCTATTCTGGTAAAACAAAATATGATCCTGAACTTCAGTGGTCACTATGAAGGACATTTTAAAAAAGTGATCTTAAATGAGGACATACAAAGGTTCCAGATTTCAAAATACCGCATCTTTGAATACAGCAAGGAACACTTGGATGGTATCAAAGTTAGCATATCTACTGGCCTTCCGATTTTTCTGTTTTTTAAACTCTTGAGAAACCTTGAAATCGATCTCTCAGTTTCTTCTGATATCCCAGTGTATGACCATCTCATACCTGTCAAAAAGGCCAAGTATCAGGATGTAATGCAATTGGCAACACGATTCGTTCCAATGGACCAAATGGCTTTCTACAACTGCCTCAGAAGTGAAGCTGTAGCAGAGAACCAGGGACCCGAAACATCTGGAACGGATGATGATGACCAGGTAGATGAATGAAGTGTAGGTTCGCGTGAGTTTATTATTTCGATTTTTTTCGAATGTTGATTTTTTTTTATATACCAACCTGCGTATTTTTATTGTTTTTTATATTTTTTTGTATTTGGTGACCTATATTATTTTGACTTTTCTTACTTAATAAAGGCTTTTTTCAAGTGTTTGGTGGAAGAAAGATGCAGCTCCAGCTTTTGTTTCTAATTTTTTCTAATTTCTCCAAAAATTATAAGGTTTAAAATAGTTTTAAATATTGACTAAATCTATATTTCAATATTACTAACAAATGAATAATAATAAGAAATGAACATAAAATTAAATTAAAATGTTATAGTTATTGAATTTGATATAATAGTAAAAAGTTTTCTGATGCCTTGGTAGGATTCACCACTCGACCATTCACTGTTGGGTTCTAATTAACGTGCTGTTCCTAAAGTGGCGCTGGGAAACAGTAACAAAGCCTACACAGAACACATAAAAAAAAATAGTAAAAAGTTAGTAAAATAAAAACTAAACATTTTTTCAAATTGACGAAGCGTAAAGCGAATAAATCCAACTTAATGCCGTAAAAATAATTGTTAGACATCGATTTTAAGGAATTCGTCAAATATACATCACTATATAATATGCATAATATTGCATAACCATAAGCTGTGAAGTATACAGGTTGATTGATTTATTATCTTAAAAAAATATGCAGGAGCACCTGCAAGAAAGTAATGGGGTTCAAATATTTTTTTTGGCGAAATTATCAGCGGAATTATTTTAAAATTGCCACTTTCTCATAGCTGACACATCGTGACTATATTTATTTAGCGGTATCTCACATACTAGATACTGTTCATTCCATTTAAATAAACTAATTTAATCAAAAACGTAATTAATTAAGATTTATAATTTAAACTAGATTTTTATGCTGCTACACAAACGTTGTGGGATAAATAAGTAATTGGATCTCATTCAATTTTTATCTTAAAGAAATCACTTTAAAGACCCAAGAAAAAAATTAATAGAAAAAAGGGTAGATACTGGCTTTAAATAAATCATGACCATTTTGAACCGACTTCAAAAAAGGAAGAGATTCTCAATTAGTCGCCATATTTTTTTTTTATGTATGTTCAGCGATAATTCTTTAACACGGTGTCCGATTTATATGATTCTTTTTTTGTTAGTAAGGGGGTACCTCAGGGGTGGTCCCATATAAATTTGGTTAAGATGTGGTGATGGCATGTGCACATTTTTAAAGTCGGTTTTTTTTAATTTTTAATTTCTAATACTTGTTTATCTATATATAATTTTTTTTAAGGTTTCATCCAAATTAAATGTAAACAGAGCGATACGAAAAGTTGAAAGAAGGTACTTCGTATATATCTCTTTTATTTCTCCGACATCTTAATAGAAGTAGAATAGTAAGTGATTTAAACATTTTTAGTGTGGAATGATAAAAAATAAATAATGCACACTTTAGCAGCCATTTCCCGTATTTACTTAAATAAAAATAAACAATTAAATTCTCATCACTTTACTATATTCAAATATTTACAATTAACTTCAAACAAGTTTATTATTCCCGTAATAAAACAATGCTATCAAACAATTTACTCTCCACATGTCTTCCCCATTGGTCCACGCCAAAATAAAAACTTCTCAATATTCAGCGACTCCATTATTGAGACGTTTCTCGTTTTATGTCGGTTTAAAACTGCTGTATGTAGATGTTACAATGTTAATCCACGGCGTTTGAACATAGTACAGCTTGTTAACGACTTTGTAAATCGTAAACTTTCCAGTTTAAATTCAGTGCTTGGCATTTTAAAGACGCTAAGTGTTTTTACTGATTATTCTTTTTTGAGACGTGACGAGCATAGGCGTCGACATTGCTGGGAATTAGCTGTTTCTATATTGCAGAAAAGGTTCTTTTAGTTTAAAGGAATCACGTAGAATGTAACTGATAACAATCGATTTTTTGGTAGAACAATGACTGAAGTGAAACTAACAGTTCTTCACTAATTGTTCTTCATCATAGTCAAATATAAACACTTTTAATTCTGTCAGACAGACAAAGAGCTCTAAAGGTCTTTGATTTCAACAAAATAAAGTCAAAGTTTGTTAGGAAATGTATTTAAGTATTTTAATAATTTTTCTTTTCTTATATCAAAACAACTGTCTCAACATTTATTGATTAATCTTTATTTCTGGATTTTGAATTTTTATACATTTACTATAATTTGTATTCATTGTGGAAATAAAGTTATTTTTTATTATTATTAATTATTATCTTAAAAATCAAAAATGCCAAAACAAAGCCCATATATGTATACAAGCAAACCTTATTTATGCAGCTTACACTAATAGAGATTTGGTAGATAATAAAGAGAAAATTTCTGGAAAATTTGAATAGCCTGCAGCTGGAAACAACAAAAATAGTGAAATGAACCAAACTCAAATAAACAACAAAATAACACAAAGGTGCTAAAAAAGAATGAGCACGAACTTATACCAAGATCAACTCGAGGAACTTATAGTGTCAGGTGGAGACATAACAGGGAAATTATTAGGAAATTAGACCTTTCGCCACAAAATGTCGTGGGAAATTGGAATAAAATAGCGGAAAATATTAGGAAAATAATGAAAAGAAAAAAGAGGAAGGAAGAGACTGCAAGGAAATGAAATAAATATAAGGAAATGGTGTCGGAGTATCGCCCGACACTACCAACAGCATAGTGATTGGTCTTTTAAATAATCACACGGAACAAATATCCTTTTTACAGCATATGTTCTGTTTTACAGCACTTATCTTTGATATATTTGGAAGGGACCTCTGGACAAAAACATATAAGCTAAGGACCTTTTTTTTTTGTTAGAAGCTTAGTAGAAGGACGAGAAAGGATTCTTTTCTCTCGAGAACATGTTTTTTAAGTTCAGTAGAGGATGAGGACCTTTTGTATACCGGATTCCCTGTCAGCAACATAGTCCTTTATTTACTTTTTAAAAAGATGGCAACCTAAGTTAGAGGTGTCATGTTAGAAGATGTTTTTTTATAAAGAATTATGCAAATAGGTTACGCCAACATAAGATGATTACACTACTCGTCTGCGACTCCAAGTGCAAATTTTATCCTCGTAAATAATAACCGTCATTGAATAATACACTATTATTTGATTTTTACCGTTTGCCCTGCATTAACGCCGTCACTGTTCCGAGTTTTAAGTGCCACTGAAAAGAAATGCAGCGCTTGTTCTTAAATCGTACTAACAGACTATAAGTAATTTTTGCATTTAAATAACCTGACAAAACAATTTTCAAGATAAACCATTTGTTATTTCCAAACAGGTTTTGTGGTTTGGGTAATAATGGCATGCTTGAAGTAATAAAATAAACAATGTTTCATCTACAATGATAAATATTTGCTACCGCAGGTATTAAAGTCGGTAAATTGGATGAAGCCTGAAGGGACATTTTAATTTTCTCCGTTTATATAATAAGAAAGAATTAATTCAGAAACGAAAAAGCAACACATTTAAATAAAAATTAGTAGTTAGAGAGGAAATATGTCTTACCATTCTTTATTATCAGTTTGTTTTGTTTACTTCAATGTTATAGACATCAACTACTTTGGTTATTCGTTGTGATGATGGAGGTTAATAAAACTACCTGTTCACTTTCGTGTCTCTATCTAGAATATTTATTTCATCCTTCAACTGTACAATCTATCAGGTACCCACTGCTGCCAAATCATGTACAGTGTTACCAACATATATCACATCTTTTTTTTTTGATACAAAATTATTAGTATTAGTTAGACTGTGTTAATATTTACTAGTGCCACTATACCGGGTCATCCTATAATTTGACTTTCATAAAAGTTTTTGTATATTTTATGTACTATTTATTGACGTTTACAGATTTCTTGCATACGTAATGATTTTCAAGATATGACGTCATTGGGCAATATTTTAAATGGATCACCCTGTATTTATATTTTTTTCGAGTTCGTATGATTTGTCTGATTTCATCAATGGTACATTAAGTGGGTCCCAGACTTATTTAAAATATTGCCCGATGACGTCATATCTTGAAAACCATTACGTATGCGGGAAATCTGTAAACGTCAATAAATAGAACATAAAATGTACAAAAACGTTTATCTAAGTCAAATTATCGTACAAGTCATAGTTAAGCCATAAATCAAGTGTTCCGCCCATATAGAATGACCCGTTCCGCCCATATAGAATGACCCGTGCCGCCCATATAGAATGACCCTGTATATCTGTCAACGTCCTTTCCTATAGGGTAGATGACTTTGCGTACATTTACGGAAGCGCAAATTTCGTGGGTTAGTCTGCACAGCTCTTTCTTTGCCCACCTATGACACTACGCGTAGAATGTTTAGAAATAAACGAAGAAAATTAATATGTACTATTATATCTTACAAATATTTTCTAGTATCTATACTAAATAGTTTTCCTCATAATTTTAAAATTTTATTGAAAATAATTTTACCTAATAATATTTGTTGTTTCAGTTCCTCCACAAAAGCCAACAATTATAGACGATAATGGTAAAGAAGTGCCCACACTAGCAGGTCCTTATGAAGAAGGTGGTGATATGAAACTTACATGTATTGTAACTGGAGGTGAGTAGTTTTTTGTTTTGTTTTAATTCAAATGTTTTTTGACAATAATTAGGATATATTAACCATTTTATATTTCCTTGCGCGGTATAAACATTATTCATTATTATATTATATTTATCATTTTGTATCCATAATCGACATATATTTTAGATTCCAAAAATATCTATTATAATTTATTACCAATTTTTATATACACTACAGTAGTAATGCATTTCCATCAGTATGTAGTCGACTTTTTCATAGTCCCATTACTGTCTTTTATTTATTTCACAAAGAAATCATCATTCTTATAATATAGATAAGGAAAAAATTTGTTTAGTCGTCCAAAAGTTCAATAAATACTCAATTATGCTCCATTAAGGCCATTACTAAACCCAGTATTTCTGAGTGATCATTAATATTTTAAATATTGTATACTAAACGTGTTTCCTTTTAAAAGGAACATCTTGTCTCACATTTTCACATTTATCAGAATGAACGTGAATAAATTATGTTCTTTTAATGACCTTACCGTACTTTTCACTTTTACCCTTTGCCATACTTTCAAGTAGTTAACCAGCCAAGTGGGATTTGTGTAAACCGCTTGTTGAATTGAAAGTTTTTCAGCTATTTAAATAATTCAGATTTAATTCTACATCGGCGTAATAATGCCAAAAAACTGTCATGTAACTTGTCTAACTAGTGCAGATGAAATATTAATTAAAAAGGAATTTAAAGAAATTGATGTAACTTTTTCCTTATTAATTAAGAAAGATTTATTTGCTACCATGGGTTGCAAAAGTTTGATAAAAAAGAAAATTAAGAGGATTAAGTGTAGAAACGTTCTTTTTTATTATTTATTACATTTATCACACCATTAAATTATAGTAGAGTACTGAAAATCCAAAATTGGGGTCTTAGATTTTTATTACCGATACTATCAAACAAGGGTATACCGGGTGTTAGAAATAATTCACCTATAATAGTAATAGCATTGTATAAATATATTTAGTAAGTCAACGCTTCTTGGAGACAAAGACAAACTGAGAAGAATTCGCATACCTCATCCCAATCTGTTTATAAGATCGTTGAAGTGAAAAAGAGAAAACTTGTAATATATATCAATGAAACAGTACGTTTATTAGGTTAATAATAAGAATACTTTTAATGCGAAATTTGATCTTTTTTTAGTTTTATTATTATGTGTTGTTTCGTCGATTTATAGAGAAAAATTTGAATTTGTAAGAGTTTTTGCAGTATTTTGCTCAATATTTTGCGACATTTTTTTAATTCTGCGATGGATTGTGTATTTTACAAATATCAATATCTGCTGATAAAACAATCATTATTTTTACAATACTGTAATTATTACAAAAAACTTGATTCGGGCAAGCTGGCTGTTTATTACCAAAACGTTAGAGGCCTTAGAAAAAAACTATCCCAACTATGTCTCAATGTTACAAATTACTGTTTCTACGATGTAATTATTCTTACTGAAACATGGCTCACAGCTGATACCAATGTAGCCAAACTTGGTCTTAATGGTTATAACATCTACAGACAGAATTCTTCTTCCCAGTTCAGCATATTTAGCTGAGATGGAGGTGTTTTAATAGCCGTTAGGAAAACGTTCTCTTCTAGTATTAACAACTCAACTGTTTATTCACTTGGACCACAGAAACTGCAAACATATTTTAGGAGCCATATATATGCATCCTAAATCTTATTCTAATCTATACCAACTTCACTTTGATCAACTTTTACATATTTGGCAATTATAATCTACCCACATGGGATATTGAAGATTTCTGCTCTTCAGCTTCAGCTCATCCCAGTTTATCACTACGGAAGAAGGTGCTATTGAAATTGTCTTCAAAATATGTGCTTTTTACAATCTTTTCCAGTACAACAAAGTGCTTAACCAAAGAAGAGTTATCCTGGACATTGTTTTGTCCCCGGTTGAATTTACAGTGATGGTAGCCGTTGATATATTGATCCCACCTGATGTTCATCATCCTTCTCTTGATAATTCAATTTAATATAAGACGAACTCAAGTGATGCGCCTGGAGAAGAGTATTATTATGATTTTCGCCACGCCAATGTTTGGAAGTAATGGATTGGAATTGGCTTCTTCAAGAAAAAGAACTTTCAGAAATGATTCTAACTATTTATGACGCTTTGTACTCGGTAATTGAATTATTTGTTCCTTCAAAGAAATTTGTTGTAAACAGATTCCCACATTGGTATTCTTTTCAACTCAAAAGTTTGGTCAACGATAAAAAAGGTTACACATAAGATTTACAAGCTAAACAGGACTGCTCAAATTTATGAAATATTCAGTCAGTTAAGATCACAATGCAGGATTATATCTAGAGAATGCTATTCAAATTATATACATTCTGTTAAAACTTCTGTAATTTTGTAAGTACCAAAAGATCTAATACCAGCATACCTGATAATATGAGCATTGAAGACTCTTTTGCTTCTTGTGGCAGTAAGGTATCAAATCTGTTTGCCAAGCATTTTTCATCTAAATTAAAATTTTAACGATATTGAACCAAAACTTAATCTTTCCTCTTACCACATTCCTATTTCGACCATTTACGAGAAATTATCTAATCTTGACATTATTCCTCCCATCCTACTCAAAAATTTCAGCTTCGTATTGTCTTGCCCGCTCAATATACAAATCGAGTAGCAAGTCAAACGTCAGAAATTACCGACCGTTATCTATTCTAAGGTTTTTGAGAACATTATAACAAACTACCTTGCATATGACTGCTGTGGCATCATAGCGGATCATCAATATGGTGCTCGGAAATCGACTGAATTAAATCTAGCTATTTACGTCGACTTCCTGTCTTAAGCTTTGGAGAACGGTTTTCAGATTGATTCTGTGTACACTGACTTTTCTAAGGCATTTGACGGGGTCAACCATTCTGTCTTACTTCGAAAGCTCAATAAATATGGCATAAATGGGGTCGTACTGCAATGGATTAGTAGCTATCTTACGAATGGAACTCAAATGGTTAGAGTAAACCATCACTATTCTAACTTATTTCATGTTACCTCAAGTGTTCCTCAAGGATCACACCTTGGTCCCTTATTATTCAACTTGTTTATAAATGACACATTCATAGTTTTCAGAACGGAAAAGCACTCTTGTTTGCAGATGATTTAAAGGTTTTCCTAATTATTAAAATCATTTATGATAGCCCTCTGGCTTCAGCCTGACCTTGATAATCTATCAAACTGATGTTACATAAATGGCATGGACTTAAATGCCATAAAGCGTTATGTCATGGGCTTTTATCGATCCCACGTACCAACTACTACTTTTGATTATAACTTAAATGGTTATATCTTGGAGTCTGTTATTCAAATTAAAGACCTTGGAGTTATTCTAGAAACCACTTTGAGCTTTAATCAACAGATACCCAAGGCTATTCATAAATTCATGAAAATGTTAGGTTTTATCAAGAGGCTAACACATGATTTTACTGACACAACTGCAATTAAATTCCTTTATTGTTCACTAGTTCAACCTCACCTAGATTATTGCTCTTCTGTCTAGTCTCCACATTAAATAACTCACAGCAGAAACATAGAAAATGTGCAACATACATTTCTTAGCTACAAAGGATATAAATTGGGTGTCCTTTGCAAGTATGGTTTGATAGAGAATTTTCTAAACATCCCCTCTTTGGAAACTAGGAGGAAACACAGAGATCTGATATATTTGACCACATTTTAATTATAATTTAAATTGTAATTTATTTCTCAAATGGGCTTGTCCGTAAATAAATAATTAAAAAAAAAATAATTTTCTTCAACCGTGGTTTCTTTTAAATAACATTAACACGTGTCAATATCTACATTATTTTTTGTGGTCTAAACAAACCTAATACAATCGTTTTGAATCCCAGCTATAAAAACTGTGCTGTAATGAATTTTCAAATACGTTATAACAAAAAATACACACAAGGTCGTGCTTTTAAATCGGAATTAGAAACCAAACGGCACACGACTAAAAAAGACTAAGACCTGACCGACGGCAGCGAACTGCTCAAGCTTTTCGGATTAAAAGGCAAAACAGCGGTGAGAGGCGTAATGGGGCGTAAACCATATTTCACCAAGTAAAGACTCGACCTCCGGCTCTTTCTGCGGACTGACTCTACTAGAAAATCGGACCATTACAAGGCTACGAATTAATGTTCCACTGACAGGATTTACTGCGCTTCACGTTCAGACTTCCAGTCTGAAAAAGGCAAAAATTATCTTGCAGGATGAGGTTTTCTCAGTCAGACGAGTTGCAATGGAAATAATAAAATGTAAGATTATGTTCTTTTGCTTTTATGTGAGCGTTTAAGATAGGATTTTTTTTTAAAAGAAAGCGAGGTTGGTAAAAATAAATTTATTACCTACTCTGGTTGTTATATGTAAATTGTCTTTCATTAACTACATTCTTAGAATCTCGTTTAATTATGTCATGTCAACTTATTTTCATAATTTCCTTGTACTAAAATATTTTTTCGAACATCATATACTAACGCGTATTTGTGGTTTCATTTATACAATCAAAACTTTATCTGAAAATGTAGGTTAATTTCACTGTCCATGTAATTACTGACATAATGTCCTAAATAGGTCAAGAATTTTACTAAATAAACGATTGATTTACTACAAACTATATAAAGAAAATACAATTAGGAATTTATAATAGTTCACTGACTTGAAGTTGCTGTAACTCAGCACTTAAAGCATTAATAAAAACCTTGCGAACCTCTTAAGCTCGTTTTTCATTGTCCTCCTACGAAGTTCTGCCAAACTTCGTAATTAAAGAGCATCCTAAATCTAAAGATACTGTCAATTGCTCTACCTACTTCGCCCCTCATCGCTGGTAAATAATGAAAATTAGAGGTCAAGGAAACCCCAATAATTTGACGCGCTCCATTGGCCAGCTCGAAGTTTACTAAAGGCATGTTAGTGGAAAGTATTAAATGAATTTAAACAGAGTGAA